TCTAATTAAAATAAAAATGAAAGATTTTTGCAAAAAATTACATGAGCATTGGACTAGTTTTGAATTAAGACTTTCAGTAAGAAAGTCTCTTGGATGAGTTTTGAATTTAAGGGAATGTCAGCACACTGTTTGTTTTCTCTCTCTAGCCCACATATAACATGAATAAAATGAATTCACCAAAAATAATTTTTTTTTTTTTTGTTTCTGAGTAAAATCTTGGAGTTAAATCACCCATCATCAAAATAATATAAAATAATATTATTGAGCGTATGATATATCAAAAATTTATCTCAAAATGATATTATATCCATTTAAATTTAATGTAAAAAATGTATTTTTATAATCAAATAATAATAAATACAAAACAAATACATCAAACTCTCAAAATGTAAGCCTCCTTTATGTAATAGATGTTTTTATTCWATAATTTTTCAAAAATCAGAAAATAAGTGGTTTTAGGAGAGTACATTTTATTTATGTTGCACTTTAGCCTAAAAAATAACAAATGTTTGACATTCTTTTAAAAAAAGGTTATCAGTGTGGAAATTAATTTAAATTTGCTTTTATAAACATTGTGACYTTCATGTCTAATATCAATTTTATTTTATTTAGATGATGAAAAACCTATTGCTAGATGAAGGAGATATGGTGCAAATTGAAAGCGTTTCATTAGAAGTAGCCACCTTTTCAAAGTTCCAACCTCAAAATTCTGAATTCCTTGATATCACCAACCCAAAAGCTGTTTTAGAAAATTGCTTGCGCAATTTTGCTTGTCTGACTACTGGTGATGTAATAGCAATAAAGTACAACCAAAAAATTTATGAAATGTGTGTGCTAGAAACTAAACCGGGGAACGCTGTTAGTATCATTGAATGCGATATGAATGTTGAGTTTGCTGCACCAGTTGGTTATGAGGAACCTACTCAGATAAAAAAGCCTGCTGCAGAAGAAATGATGGTTGATCCTGCTGATTTAATGCCAGAACCAACTGGATTCATCGCATTCAAAGGTTCGGGCAATCGATTAGATGGAAAAAAAAAGAAAGACAATTCTGACGATCAAACGAATCAATTTAAAGCAGCATACCGAAGAGGTATTCCAGATTATGATTATAACATCGGAACTATTCAGTTTATAAGGAATATTCGCCCTGTGACTAAAGACAAAGARGTAATTATTATTGCAATACATTAATAATTTTAATTCTATTAAATTAAATCCAATAATCCATTTCACCTTAGTACTTTACTGCAATAATATACAATATAAATACATTAGAAACCGCTTATCAGGATAATTAATACAATCGTGTTATTGAATCAACCAGACGGAGCAACTGTTCATAAGAACATTGAAAATAAACAGGGTTATTAAAACATTACATTGTTTATTTAAAACAATTAGCCTAAGATCAGTTGACATATGCACCAATYATCTGGCAATAACAAATATACTTTAATCTTATCCTTGCTGTCATGACGTTTATTTTTATTGTTAGGTAAAATAAAAATAAATATACATACTTTTTTTAAATTACATAATTAATAATTTATTGTACTCGTATATTTTTTTTGATACAAATGTATTAAATACAATATATATTTCATTTGATTTCAATGTTTTCATAGTACAAATTCAAACCAATCACTTGTTAGAAACAATCTGTTAATCGGTTAACACATTTCACCTTAATCTAAATGTGTTMCTAATAAGGGGCTTCTACTGTACCTACTTCATTAATAAATCCCTAATGACAACTAATCTGAAATTGGATGTGATGTCTAAACATTATACTGATCATAAATTAGTCACCTTGACTAAGACTCTTTTGTGGAATTAATTATACAAACAAAAATATTTTTGTGATAAAAATTAATGGCTATTTGTTATAATTACAACAAATAAATTTACCATTTTATTATATTATAGTAAAACTGTATGATTGAAGTTTATTTAAATGACTAAATATTTTTAATTTCAGGGTGAAAATCAAGAAGGATTTAAGCCTTTTGCAGGTTCTGGATCAATACTCAAAACCAAAAAAAAAAAATAACGTAATAATTATCCTTTAAAGCATGTACAAATATTTTTAACATAAAAGTAATTCAATTTTAAATATTGTATACATTTTCAAGATAATTCTATGTTTAATTGTAAAATGGTTTTAATACGGTGATGATTCTCTAATTAAAAATAAATATTTTATAAATCCAAGTATTGACAACATGCTTATTGTAGATATAATTATCACAGAAAAATTAAGAAATTTATAGAAGTCTTAAAATTATACAATAATACTATTGTCTGTATTTTAAACGATTAATTGTTTTTATTTTATTTTTCGCATAAGTTATTTGCGATTAATACATTATAGGTAATTACTGAGCAAAATTACAAGTTTGTGACAAATAATTCGTTAAAAATTAAATTTGTTATCAAATCAATTAAAAATAAACCAATTATTTCTAATAATCATTATTCAATATCACATTTAATATGACTCTTGAAATTATAAAAGAAAAACATTAGATAACTCAAGCAAAATGTATTAAAAAGGATATCATTTCCTCATGTGATATTTTTGTTTTATAAACGTACAACATAGCAAATTTACATTTATTAGTTTTAATATTATGCTGTTTGTCTTGGCATTTGAGTGAACTGACCTATTATCAAACTTGAAGGTAAAAATATTATCTGGATTTTCTCATTGGTTACTATAATATTTCAATTATCTAGTGAATTATGAATATATAAAGAATTAATACTTAAAATTGATCACAATTCACTTGAAAATTAAAATACTGTAAAAACCGACAAGGGAACACAGATAATGTTCTTACCTAAAAGTTTGACTATTGGCCATTCACGCTTATGTCAAAACATTCAAAACTAACAGGACACTATTGAAACTAGCGAATATTTTTATTTKATTTAATGGTCATTAAATTTWAAAAAAAAATTTCATGTCATATAATATAATATTAATTAAGTTTCAAGCACCAGAATATTGTTATAACTTATAAGTTAACTATTAAGATGGAACATTTAAAATCGAAATAGGAACAAAATAAAATTTCTGTTAGGGAATAACTCTATATTCTTTTTTAACCACAAATCTTGAAGTGCCAAAAGAAAGTCACTTTTTTAAAGTTATTAGTCACTTCAATAGAAAATAATACGTCAACTATTATTTACATTTTTTATTGTTATAAACTACTCCTCCCATGTTTGGAACAAAAATCTTTAGAACCAAATATTTGTATCATTGATTGTAAATACTAGTAAAATATTTAAATGATTAAACTTACTTAATTAATTATTTTAATTATTTAATATCATAGTAAAATTTATACAATATAAATTATTATTAATAAATCAATATTACACCGCTACCTTTTTAAATTTAAAAAAAAAATATTCTCATCCATAATTTATAGTTATATTATAATTATATTTATATAATATATATTATAT